GGTGAAAACCTGGCATTTCCAATTTCATTCAATTTTTTTCATCAAGTCTTAAAAAGTGTGTGATCAATTTAAGATGAAAAAATCTCATTTTCCATTCCATTCTCTTATTTAGCAACAACATATTAGAGACTTTTTTGCCCTATATGCATGAAACATTTCTGTATTCAATGGCATTTCTTTCTTTTTCTTTTTCATTTTATTCTTCTTTTTGTTATTACCCTTTTCCCCATTACATTTTTCACCCATATCTGCCCTGTCAAGTCATTTCTTTCCACCTCTATAAAGGAGCAGACACAACAAGGTGAGGTGACACTCTTCACTGTAACATCGGCGGGCACAATACGGTATACTCTTACTCTTTGTATGAACCTATAAGATCAGGTGTTGGCCTTTTCACACTTTTCCCTGTGTGGTGGGGAGAAAGAAAGAAGGGAAACAAGAGGAGTCTTTCATTGTTCTCATCTGGGCCATTACTCACTAATGAGCAAATTGTTAGGAGGGAGTTTAAAGATAGGAGGGAAGTATATTTCAAGGTATGGATTTTTGTTTTAAAACTATTAACATGCTTCATTAGGCAGCACTATGCAAGGTGACAGAGACAAGTTTAATAACCATGAAAATGGGTTACAGCAGGAACTCTAATCCACACTTTCAGCACATGGCACAGACCCAGGACACTGCATCATACTATATGAACTGCATTATGACAAACAGGGCCTGGTATGAATGGTATCCTCCTGAGGTGGGCACCACTTTATCATGTTGATTTCATATTTAATGTATACACTTCTGGTAAAATATGTATAACTAGAGTAGACATGCAGGTAATGCACAGCAGGCATGAGTGGCTGTTGCTACATTGACCAAGTTAGCCAATATTTGACCCATATCGTCTTTTAGAGGATATTAGCTGTATCCCATGTGAATGCATTTAATGTTTAGATTGGTTGTTTGTTCCAATCTAAAGACACAGAACTGCTACGCTTCTCACATCATTATATGCAGTACTTTTGCTTATAGTGAAATGTTTACAACTAATACTCATTAAATATTCTCTACACAAATTCAGAGCAAATCTATGAATGAGGGATTGCCTCCACACAGTTGCTAACTGTTCTAACAATACGAACAGCCGTAAATAACGGCAACGGTGCTGACAGGTGTTATCCTGTGGGGGGGGGGGGGGGGGGGGCCCCCCCCCCCCAACAAAACCCCAAACCCAAAAACAAC